TGATTGGCCTGGCACGTGGGATGAAGAAAGAGCAGGACATGATGAGGGCACATCGAACAGCAGTCCAGCGCTACAGTGTCCAGACAATTGCTGCTGAGTGTGAGTGGCAAAAGTCCAAGCAGGCTGCAGTCGAGGCATCATGGACAGAGCACCAGGTGGGCAGTAGTGTCTGTTTCTATTGTGATTCAACTCTAAGCCTTAGCCCAGGGAATAAGTGCCTTAAGAAGCCTGGCAGGTCTATTTTCAAGTGGGTGTGGGCAAGACTTGCAGTGCTGCAGAAGCTTTCGAGCAAACTGCTCACCGTCTTGTGGCTGGTCGCTTGCTGAAAGAGACAAANNCAGGCACTTAAGAACAGTCAAACAGTCCCACAGTCCGACAGTGTACATGTGTTTTCTTGGTTGCAACTTGGTGACAGGTCCCAGTCATTGGAGTCCTCAATGTTCCTATGCTGGGGAATGCGGCCAGTGCAGTCATCAAGCAGATGACCGGCAAGATTTCAGTGGAACTGTCCCACAGTCCCAACACACTGATGTACATCATTGTCCCCCCGAACCAGCCTGTGCATGGAGTTGGAAGAGTCTCCAAGAATGAGCGTGATCAGAAGGTTCTGGCCCACCAGCTGTTGTGGAAGAGTGAGCTGGAGACTATGGATAATGCAATCATCCTGAGAGCATCTGCATTGTTTGATGTCGAAACAATGTACAGTGATGAACGAGACTTGGGCATTGAATTGTGGGTGGTGCTGCCACAGGGACCTCCTGCAGCAGAGACTGGAGATGATGGGATGGCAGTCCTACAGTCCCCTGCTTCAACACAGTCCCAAGGCTCACAGTCCACAGTCTCACAGTCCTTGCAGTCCATTCAGTCCAAGAATGTTTTTGCAAGCTCTGTCCTTGTGAAGAGGAAGGCAATCCCAGGTTTGGTGCATTGCATGGAGCGCAGCAAGATGCAGAACTTTGGCAAGGACCTCTCATTTGCCCAGGGTGGGGCCACCAATGGAGATATGGACTTGGAGCGAAAATTGACTTCAATATTTCGGGAAAGCTGCTGTGTGTGTAGTGAGTGTGTCTGTGTTTATGTAGTGAGTGAATGTTTAATCTTGGTGCTGAGTGGTTGCATACATCTAAGGCAAACAATGGTTTTCAGGCAGAAGCTTTCTCATGGACATGATTATGGCAGCTGTGAAGGGCACCAAGATGAGTCGGAGCCACACTGTCATTGTCAAGGATGTTGCACCATATGATGCAGAGCTGGCTGTGACTGTTGCTAGTCTCAATGCAGTCACCCCGAGGACCTGGCCTGACTTCAGTTATGTTGGTTCTTCATGGGTTGGCAACCAGGGTTTCAAGGAGCAGGTGGCAAGCAACATTGAAGCAGTCATTGCTGAGCATGTCAAGGCTGCCATTGGACGTGGTGAGTACCCCCTGGCCAGGCTTCCAGATGGAGTATCCCAGGCCCCAGTCCCACAGTCCCACGGTCCACCACAGCTCAACCTGGAAGACTTCAAGTTGACTTTGCCATCCCCGAACAATGAGCTTCTACTTTTGATGGACACTGTTTCCAAAGGGAAGCGCTGCAACAAGGTGGTTCTGCCTGAGACAGAGATGTGGAAGGGAATGTCGTGGCCTGATATTTTGAAGAAGCACAATGATGAGTTCAACCCTTCAGGGACAATCCGTCAGAAACGTGATGCAGAAGTCCCTGTCCAGGAGTTCCTTAGATAGTATTCAGATGTTTGATAATTTTTGATAT